AGAATACTTAATGATAGTCGGGGAGGCAGGAGAAATTCAATTCCACTGGTCTATGTGGGAAGAGAGAAACTGTGTTTTTGGTATTTACCAGTGCTGACTTCTTGACTCTTAAATTCTCCTTTAACAGGAAAATCAGAAAAGATGCAGTAAACACAAATGAGATCTGTTACCCAATAGTTACTTCTGATTTGGCAGGTAGTTTGATATACTCTGAAAGCCAAAATAAACAGCAGACATGAGGTCTGGGAAAGAAACTTGGACTCCTCTTCAGTAGTTAGTCTCCTTGAAACAAATTCCATTTTAACTGGTGCTCTCCTGCATGGACCATAGGTTCTTATTTATTATCGCTTTTCCACTTCTGCAGTGCTGACCTCAGAAGTGTGCTCTGCTTATTGACTTTGGCCGGGTGGAAGTGGTTTAGGCCTAAACAAAACCTCTCTAGTTTTTTCCTTTGGGGGAAAGCCAGAATAAACAGCCTTCTGCGAGCTCAGAGTTGACATCAGACCACAGTTTGTGGTGATGATGGGGAAGGCTTAAAAAAATCCTTTATAAAAGCAACATGCAAAAATTAATGTTTTCCCATATTTAGGTAAAACTAGTTTTTCCTCTTGCCTGGGTAAGTTTACTGGTGCTGAAAGGTGGCAAGAGTTCAGCTCCAGCAAGGCAAGTCCTGCACTGAAGGGCTTGACAGTACAGACAGGATTTTTTGCTGTTTTTTTTTTTTTGTTTGTTTGTTTGTTTGATTGATTGTTTTTGTTTGTTTTTCTGCCAACCTGGGAACAATTTTACTCAGCACTGTTTCACTGGAAGAATCTGTGTGGGTGAATTTTTCAGTATTTGCTCATTGACAGCCATGATTTCCTATCCCATCCCCTCAAAAACTAGGACCATGGCTTATTTATGCATCCGCATCAGAAAATCTTAGGAGGCTGATAGCCATCTCCTGTGGGTACTGTGGAGTGTTATATGATGAAGTACAGCGCACTGATACCCAAGGATGTGTTTTGAGGGTCCCCGACACTGAGCTTTGAAGATGGTGGAACAACTTTCCACTTATTTAACTGGTGATGACCACTGTCAAGGGAAGGCTAAAGAGCTTTCTGGAGGTGGAGGAGTGTCCAAGGTTGAAAACAAGTATCAGGAAAGAACAAGCTCCAGCGTCGATGCTGCCCAGGTTGTCGAGCACATTGTTGTGTCAGCAAGTATCACACTTTGGCCAGAAATAGCTACCCTATCCAGCAGGGGAGAGAAAATAATTCATGCTGTTAGAGCTCCCTGTAATTTGTCCTGGAAGCCATTTGGACTCAACGACTGAAAAGGAAATGTCAAAGAATAGGAAGCCAAGAGAAGCTCATCAAAAAGACATCTGGTCTTGCTGTCTTAAATGGGACATTCCCCCCTCCCTCTAGCCACACTCTTCCCAGCCACGATTTTTTGAAACACTTAAGATCTGAGAGAATCTAAAACATTGCTGGAATGTATCAGCCATGAAGCTTTTGTGTAGCTGAGCAGCTAAACAGCTCTGTTTTTTGTTTGTATTACGGCTGACTGTCTTGACTTTCATTGGTGGAAGTCAGAAGTGGCTGAGCACAGTCAGTGGAACAAGACCAGCACAAGTAAGGGAATGTGTCCCTCACACAAAACACTTCAAAAGGAAGTAATAAGACTTCAAAAGAACAGCATAGGCAGGATGCTTGCTAATCTTCTGAAACGAAGGATTCCTCTTTGGCAGAGGGTTGTCATCCCTCTTCCACTGAGAGCTGGCTACTTTTCCCTGCAACAACCATGTTAACAGTGACCCATCTGCCTCTCTGCTTCTTCTAACCCTTTCTTCATTGGCTCAGCGCTGGCAGGGTCCCAGCTCCTTCCTGGAACCAGACACTAATCTGGTGTGCCAGTTATCTCTGGGGGAAAAGTTTCATTACTGTTCGTTCTCCTGAATGCGCAGCCTGGGATTCTCAGCACTCTTCTGCAATAAGTCGCGTGGCAATGCCATTTATCACAGGCTGTTTCACAAAACTGTGTTCTAGGGATCTGGGTGGCTAAGGGTCTTGCAGTGCGGTGCGGTGGTTCTGATCATATGAACCAAGACAACATCAGCAGAGGCCAGCCAAGATATTCTGAGCTCCCTGGAGAGTAAGTGGAGGCCTCTGTTAAGTTCCCCAGCAGTAACTATCCCCTTAACCCACCAAAAGGAAATTCCAGAAGACAGGCAGGATTCAGTGGATCAAGGTCAAAGATATTGATAGGAGCTCCAAAAACTTATGGAATGTCTTGTCTTTGCTCCTTGCTAGATGGAAGATCAAAGCAGATCATCAACAAGACAGCTGAGCTTGCAGTTACTGCGAGCAGTGATCCCTCTTAGTCCTGGCTGCGTGGTCCCACCCACTTCCTTGGACTTGCTATGATGCTCATACAGTCTCTCTCTTCCTTTCAAGTACAGATGCTTTACCTGGTACCTGCACCAGGTCTGCAACGTGACTCAGATTGCTAGCCTGAGAGAAGAATCTGCCATTTTAGTTTCCCACCTCCTTCACCATGAAAATTGCACCACTTCACCATGAAAGTTGGTCTAGCAATTTTGAAAATGATACAAGGAAAAGGGACCATGTGGCCAGAAGGAGGGGTGGGAGGAAAGATCTTCCCCTTTTAGATATAACAAAGTTATTACATTGGTAAAGCTGTCCTTAGGTCCAGAACTTTGGTTCAGAAGAATATGAATATAGGTAAAAGTAACAGCACAGCATCTCTTTGACAGAAATTCTGTGTAGAGGCTCTCTAATGGAAGGGAACTACCCTCCTGCTCAGATTATGGCAGCATTTCAGCCAGGGAGGCCAGAGTGACCATCAAGACCTTGTCTTTGGCCTCTTCATTTCTTAACATTTCACAGAACACCCTCAGCTCAATCTGACAGACACAGTGTTTGACATGGCTCTCCGTCCTTCAGAAATTTAACCAGGAGAAATTAATCTTGCATGCTGAGATTCCTGAACAGCTTTGATAAGCACTTGAGGTAAAGAAAAGCCTTGTGAAAGAACAGGCTTCCTTAGGAGCGTGGGAGAAACTTCTACCTTTTGTTCTGCCAACTGGAGTATTTTCCCTTTGGAAGCAGTGGTTTGCTGGTGTGAAAGGTAAGTGTAACAGCAAAAATATTAATGAAGCAAAATGCACCTGCTCCATAACTCTTAGATTAGCCAAAGGGTGATAATCTCACTGGTGTTCAGACTGGCTATTAATGCAACATAAACATGTAGCAGTGAAAGAATTACAAGCTGTATTATGATCCTCTGCACTGAAGGAGGGGATGTCAGACACCAGTAAGGGGGGGACTCCAGCAGAATGAGCTTGGTCCTCAAGGCTTGTCACAATGAGTCATCACTCATAAGCAGGAAAATAAGATGAACTATGTGGACACATTGAAATATGTGGTTGACTGCTATTTTATTGGCTCCTGAGAAGCTCAGATAGGAAAAGCAGTAAGCAAATGTTCATTCTAGCTGAGCATCATGGTAAGCTTCCAGCTTTCAGCATCAACATTGGGAATTTTAGCCGCTTGCATTAAGAAGGGCCTGGGTATTTCCTAGTTTGATCAAAGCCAGAGAACAGTCTGTTTGAAGGCCATTCCAGTGTATTTCTGGATATTTCCTATTACAAAATGAAGGGGACAAACAGGAAGAATTTGAATCCCTCTGGCATTAATATTTGTCCCATTGGCACTAACTCAGCAATTGCCATAGGCCTGGCCAACAGTCCTTGGATTCTGGGGAGTCCTTGTGGAGGTGCAGGGGAGGGAAGGGGACATGGCGGGTGAGTAATGGCTCCGGGGCTCACAGGAAGCTCAAGTATACAAGTTCTTGATCTTTCAAATCATCTTTAATTAGTTTGTTTAAGAGGTATTATCCTTAATTAGTACTGATGACTTCAAGGTGACTACTACTTCGAGATCCATGTGCGCTCACAAGGTTTGTAGCCAGGCCTCACCACCCAGCCTTCACCATCTTCCTGCCCAACATCCTAAAGCAGACCCGAGCTCAGGACCAAAGCTCTTTTGCCCAGACCTCAAAGCCTAAGAGTCTCTGAAAGATTAAGGCAATGGGATGAGGAGTAACTTCGGGTCAATGAGGTCCCAGTGGGCCCTCATCCTTCTGTGGAAGCAGGACTAGAGCCTCCCACAGAGCCCCAATGGATACAGAAGACAACGTATCCACCCCCAAAGGACGCAGAGCTAGTTTCCACTGCCTTGTTTTTCAGTACTTTTGCCCTGGGCCTTGCACGGCAGCAAATGGGGTGGCCACCTCTCCACTCATTACTCTTTGGTCCTGTCAACCTTGTAGGCGACGGAGACCAGGTACGAGAAGTGGTTTGGGGGACCTGTGACCTCTGCTCTGCCCAGGAAGCAGCTCCTAAGGGGAACTCTTACCGAGCGCCTGAGAAGGGAGAGGGCAATGGTTACAAGGGGAAAATCCCCAAGGAAGATGGGAAAGGAACCCAACTTGTCCGCGTGCCGCCCCGGGCAGTGCACGCAGCGGGTGCCTGGCACCGGGTCACACACAAAGCTCTCCCGGGACAGCCCCAGCCCTTCCCTGGGGATCCCCCGGCCCCACTGCAACCCCCCTACAGAGAGGGAGCAGAGAGGGCCCCTCGGCGATGGCCACAGCTCTGGGAGCAGCAGGGTGCCCATGTCCCCCCTGTGCCCTGTCCAGCCTCCAAAGCCACCAAAAAGCCCCTCAAAGCCCCGGCCCCAAATCCCCCACCCGCCCCCCGAGCGCCTCCGTGACTCCCCGGCGCCCTGCCCGGCTGCGGGGCGGAGCGGGGCGGGCCGGGCCGGGCCGG